ACACAAATTATTTAACCTGATCAAACACTCTAGCAGCAGGATGTAATTCTCCTACTCTGAGAGACAAGAAAACCGGAAGTGAAAGAGGGTATATAGCTTGACAAAAGTCAGAGGACCAGTAAACTAAAGAGGATGAATTCAAATTCAGATCTGAATGCAGAGTCTGATCTTCCCACTCTGAGGGCTGGAAAATCCTTAACACACAGGGTCCCCAGCTCCTCTGCATTGTTCCTGGCACCAAGCGTTTCCCATGGCGAAGGTCTCCAGTTCTCAGACACAGCGCTCTGTGCAGCCAATAACCTCCATTCGACCTTGATCATCTACCTGCCACACCCACCAGGCTTCACCATACAGGCTGGAAAGCTGGCTTTCAAGTGCATACAAAGCCACCCCTGGTCTAACCTGGTCTCTTCAGCAGCTTTTCCAGCATAAAGGCAGCCATGAAAGTGCTCACCGTTTGTACATGAGCTACACTACCTCTCTCCATCTGTCTCCCCACCTATACTACTTAGCTATGACCATTTTGAGAATCTTGGAAACAAATTTTTAAACACAGAAAAGAAAGGATTCAATAACAAGTACTTAATACTTACAATTTTAAATGAGAATTTACAAATTGAGTATTTACAAACTGAATCTGCCTTCCTAGGTGTCAGTTTTAACAGTTAAAAATATAATAGCAAAAAAATTCTCACTTACAAAATTAACAAAAAGATCAACAGTAATCTGGAATAAACTCAGAAACAATGCCCATGTTGTACATGGAGAAACTACAGGACTGTACTGAGGGGTAAAGTAAGAGGTGTGAATGTAGAGACATCAACATATTGTATGGAAGAAAGCAGTTTTGTAAAGATGTACGTTCTCCTAAAGACAATTCAAAACTTACTAAAAAATCCCATGACAACTCTTATCTGTTTTTTTTTAACTTAAAAAAAGTATTTTAGAATTCTTCAGGAATAATAAAGTCATAATACTAGCCAAGAAAATTAGGGATGGAAAAAAGAATAAAAAAAATCGCACTGTCAGACATTAAATAAATTTTTACAATATGTAAG